AGCAGCTGTATGGCTACAATGTTGCAAAGTGGTAAGTGCACTTGGCAGGTTAGTGGCTCATCAAAAAATCAACTCTTAGAAACTCCTAGATCCTGAGGGTCCACAGGTGCAAATGTGCAAACCCCGGAGGAGGGGGGGTCTTCAAAGTGCTCCCGAGAGGCGGGCCTGGCTCACTGAGCCCCCGCGCACCTCCCGCAGGCTCGGACGGCGGTCAGTGAAAGTCCAGCCGCGACTGCACGGTCTTGCAGCCCCTGTCTGAGTAGATTTTCTCCTCTTTGGGGAAAAACGTGATTTCCTCCGTGACCCTGGTGACGATGTCTTCGTTCACGGGGGAGCCACGGGCGCGCATCTCCGCCCGCACACACATCTTCACGTGCGTGTACTCCAGGGGCAAGAAGGGGACGAAGTAGTCGATGAGGTTCCTGTCTATGAGTCTGCTGTGCCACAGGCCGCCTGCAAACAGGAGCCCGTCCCGGTCACCGGCGGAGCCCCCGCTCCAGCCCGCTGAGCCCGACCCCGGTCACCTTCCACGCCTGTACCCCTGAAATCCCCCCCACTGCTAGGACCCCCTGTAATTTTTTTCTCTGATGGGGTCATTCTGTTTGAAATTCTTCCTGTCAAGCATGTAACACGTCTGATGCAAGGCCCGGGCAGCTGCCCATCGCTGGCCTCTAGAGAATGTCGGCCTAGGAAAGGTCCAGGCCTACGGAGAACTTCTATAAGGACTGACTTGAGCCAAACACGACTAGAAGCAGGGTCTCAGCAGAGTAAGAAGGTGCCCCCAGGACAGCAGTTGTGCAGTTTCTCTCGTGCATTTAGAATTGAGAGGAAACGTATGAGGGCGAGGGAAGGTGGGAGTGGCCGGGGGATGTCGGCAAGAGGACTGTGTGCTCCTGGGGGGCGGCCACGCCTTTGAGGGGGCTGAGAGACAAGGTCACTCCAGCTTCCAAAGGTGTGTGAGCAGCGATGCCAGGGACAGGGACAGGGACAGGGACAGGGCTGGCTTAAGGCAAAGACAAGTCTTTTCCTAAAGAAGCCACACGCCTGGGGCGTGGCCACCCACCAGGACCTGCCCAGCTGGGAATTCACCCTCAGCTCACCCTGTGAGGTCACCTTCCCAGAGCCCCCGAGAGACGCCCTAAGAAAGTCCCTGGTTCAGCAAAGCCGGCGGGCCAGCGGCCGCTGCGGCCTCCGGAGGCGGAGGCGGAGGCAGGGTGAGGCCGTGGCCTGGGGACTCACTGTGCTTGTTGTTGAAGACGCCCACAGACAGCATGGGCTCCAGGTCGCTCAGCTGGATGTCCTCTCTCTTCCGTCCTGACCGCCAGAACTCCAGGGCCTTCTTCGTTATGAGGTCCCCGCCGGCATTGCTGAGTGTGCCCGAGGAACAAAGATTAAAACCACATATTAAGACGCCGCGTCTAGGGCGTGGGGGGGCAGGAGAGGGTAGAAAGGGAGAGATGGTGACAGAAGGAGACGTGGCTGGCGGCGGCGAACACACAGTGCAGACGCGGGTGACGCGTATAGGACTGTACCCCGAAACCTATCTGATTTTATTAACCAGCTCACCCCAGTAAATTCAATTTTTAAAAAGTGATTCTGGGTCTAACCAGGAAGCATACCTGCTCTAAGGTTTGTACGTAACCAGGGAATATTGACTGAGGCTACTGGACAGGGGACAAGCAGCGTCTGCCCGCGAGGGGCAGTGGCCGCTACGCGACATGGCCGCTCCACTGGGAACAACACGTGCAGGCAGTGAGCTCGCCTGCTGTCAGCCACGGCATAATCCACGTTCCCCTGCCCCGTCTCTGCCACGCCGACAGCCGCAACCCGCGATAAGAGAAATCAGGATGCCACTTTCACAGGCTGGCGCCTTTGTCCCCGGGGAACGAGATGTAGACGGTCGCTGGCACCTTGCTCTAGCCCTGGGAGGATGCAGGCGGGCGCGTGTGCCCCCGGAACCCACTTCCCACCAACCTGAGGAAGATGAAGATGGCCTTGCGGTAAGACACGCCGTCCACCTGCTCGTAGTAGTCCAGGAAGGGCGTGATGGAGTCAACGATCCCGGGGTGCAGCTTGTCCATCTCGTCGAAGATGAACACCGAGTTCGCACAGGCGCTCACGTTACCCCGGATCCAACTCCGCAGCTGGTCCTGGGTCAACCACAACAGAAACAGGATGCGGGGGCGCGAAGGCCGGGCCGCCCTGCGCCTCATGCTCGGGAGGGGAGCCGGAGCGCCCCGGGGTTTAACAGAGCTCGCTGACGTCCGCTCCCGGGGGACAGCTTCTCCAACACACCATCAAAAGTGGAAACTAGTAGAGAGGCGGGTGCTCGAGTGGACAGAAGTTTCTTCCGAACTCGAACGATGTGCTAAGGGTCACCTTTTAAAAGGATGAGATGGCCCGGCCGGCGAGGCTCAGCAGCTGAGCATTGACCCGTGAACCAGGAGGTCACAGTCCGATTCCCGGTCAGGGCACAGGCCCGGGTTGCGGGCTCGATCCCCGTAGGGGGCGTGTGGGAGGCAGCCGATCGATGGCTCTCATCATTGACGTTTCTCTCTCTCGCCCTCTCCCTTCCTCTCTCTGTGAAATCAATAAAAAATTTAAAAAATAAAAAAAAATTAAAGAAAAAAGACACATGAATGTTTATCACTTCACTGTGAACAAACCCACGACCTTCACGTCACCGTGGGCTGAAGCCTCAGCTCTCCCAGGCACCCCAAGGAGCACGAACCGGGGGGAGCTCGCAGGGCCCCTTTCCTGGTGGCCTGAACAGAGGAGCCAGACCACATGTGGCACAAAGCATCTGTCCCCAGGCTTTCTCGAAACAAACAAAAAGACACCCAGTCGACAAGCCCTCAGCCCCCAAAATGCGAAAGGCTCCAGAGGCAGCCCCGCTCTCCCTGCACCGCGAGAGCCGCAGGGAGGCTCCCTCCTTTCTGAAGCCTTTCCGGCCCCTGGACGGCCTCTCTCGCTTTCTCCCTCGCTTCAGTTTCAGTTTCTCTCTTCAGTCCCCACCTACCAGCAGGAATATTAACCTTTACATGGAGGACACTCATTTACATGGGAGCCAGCGCACAGCTGAATGCGAGTCGAATGGGGGGTGGGGCACGTCTCAGAAGGAGACGCGGTCTTCAAGTGCAGCTCTCGAGGCCCTGGGAGCAGCGGAGGGAGCCGGGGGGAGCGGGACACAGACCCTCTAGTCTCGGCGGCTAGAGGCAGGGGCGAGGCTGCACCCCAGGCACGAGCCCTGAGGGAAGGTGGCCGAGTCATTTATTGTTTAGGACCCTTCAACCAAGGGCCGCGAGGGGAACGCGCCCATTCACCGCAGAAAGTGGCCACCCTGGGACTGGAAGTTGGGAGATTTGCTACCAGGTCACAAAGACAGGAAGGAGCAAGTCGCCTCGCCTCTCTAGCCTCCACCTTTCAAGGGAAATATCATCTACGCCGCTGTATTATTTTGGGATCAAGGGAGGGAAAGGCTGTAGGGGGAACTCTGCAAATGGCCAAGGGTCTCAGGGGTGAGCGCGCCCTAACCCAGCGGGGCCCGGGGCTGCGGGAGCGGGAACAAGACAAGGGGAGGCTGGAGTTAGTCGACAGGTGGCCCAGAGGAGCAGCGGCGGGCGGGCGGGACAGCGGGGCTCCCTTACCTGGTACAGTTGTGATTTCTGCTCATGAGGGAAGTGCAGGGTCGACACAAACAGGTGGACGAACTTGCTCTTCAGGCCTCTCTCGTGCAAGTTTGTAGCCACTATCTGGCTCACAAAGTTCTTGCCGGTGCCGGCCCAGCCGTGCAAGGAGAGAGTCAGCGGCTTCTTGGGGTCTTTGTTGCTCTGGAAGCTCCTCAGTGCCCTGAGAATCACCTCTGTGGCCAGGTGCTGCCCGAACAGCTTCTCCTGCAGCTCCAGCTTGAGGGCTGCAGGAGCCAGCCGAGGACAGAAGAGAAACGCACGTTAAACATGCTCCCGAGCCCAGCGGCGAGCCCAGCGGCGCGGCTCAGGGGTTGAGCACCGACCTAGGATCCAGGAGATTCCACCCGGTTCCATCCCGGGTCAGGGCACATGCTGGGGTTGCAGGCTCGATCCCCAGCAGGGGGCGTGCAAGAGGCAGCTGATCAATGACTCTCTCATCACTGATCTTTCTATCTTTCTCTCTCTCTCTCCCTCTCCCTTCCTCTCTCTGAAATCAATAAAAATATATTTTTAAAAAAAACACGCTCCAGAGAGGCAGCACCTTCCCTAGCTGGCCACAGAGGCAAGAGGTCCGGCAGGGTCTCCGCCAACCCACAGGGCCGGCACTGAAGTGGAGCCACGGGCTGCAGTCACAGGATGCACTAGACAGATGGGTGTCCCCCTCGACACTCGTGTCTGACAGGGAAGCTAAAGACATCCGTCCATCCAAGGATCAGCCGTCTCTTCGCTGAGCTGCACGCCATTTCCCCAGCCACCCCTGCCGGCTTGTATGAAAACCAAGGGCCCAATGTGGGTGTTGTGAGTGGACCCTGAACATCTGAAAACTGCTTAAAAGGGTCGAGGTGGCGCAGAAGGGCTGACCAGCTACTCTCAGTTCCTTCTCACTGTGACCCCAAGGGGTCTGAACACTGAGACAGGGACCCGGGCAGAGCCCCACGATCTGGAGAATGTCTCCCAAGTGTGGCCCGAAAAGGGGCCGCATACTAACCTGCAAGCTCCAGGGAGGCCTGAGGGGCAGCCTTCCAAACTCAGAGACCGAAAGTAGCCCCATAGGATGGGTCTGAAATCGAAACTTCCCAACTAAAGGCGAGGCCCGCTGGGTGGTCCTGTCCTAGGCCTGCATCTTTTGGACAAAGTTCAGTCTTTACCTTTGACTGAGCCCATCTGCTGTCTTTTTGCATCTGCCAAAACCCACCTCTGGGAGGTCGGGGTCCTTTCCTTTTCCCGGGACCCTCCCTGCGCCGAGCAGACGCTGCAGACCCTCCGGGTGTTACTGTTACCATGGGAGCTGCCGGCGGCCGCCCTGTACCCAGGGACGTCAGCGGCGCGTGTCTAGTTCAGTTTACTTTGTATCCGACCCCGGGGGTTTCCCGCTCTGCCCCTCCCGCCTCCCGGACGAGGCAGTCAGAGGAGTTCGAGGAATTCACTTTCGTTTTACCCCTGAACTCGGATGCACGAAGAAAGGGGCGCAGCTGCCATTTCCCGGAACAGGCTCTCGGTCCCGGGACTCTGCCGCGCGGCTCCTGGCAGTTGGGCTCAAACTCACTCTTACAGGTGGGACGGGGCTAACGGGGGCAGA